TTTTTTGGACAGGTACCATATTACCTATCTAATTTAAAAGTTCAATGCTCAGCAATAGTATCTATTAAAGTCAGTGGTTCATTTCCGATGGGGAAAGTGAGGGATGTGATCAGGAAAGGAAACACAGGAGGCTTCAACTACACTGGTCAGGTTTTACTTTTTAAGATGAGTGAAAACTATTTGGTATATTAGTTAAGATACTCAAAAAGATATAAACAGTATTTCATAATAACCTTTTCTTTGGGGTAAAAAAAAAAAGCTAAATTATGTATGTACTGAATATTTTCAAAGGAAATACAAGAACTTTTGATCTAACAGTTTTGGCTTGGCTCACCTTATGGCACTCTGCATTTTACAAACAACTAGTAAGAAAACTCTCAAATGGATCATCAACACCAGTAGCAATTAAGAAACCAAGTTCCCTTGTCTCAGGAAGCACTTTTAATATGAGTGTACAATCTGTACTTAGCCTGTATGACATTTACTATCATGTGTTTATTGCTTTAGACTGGCAAGCCCAAAAGAGATTGACTACAAACAAGCTCTTGGCCAAACAACTGAGGTCCATTCACTATAGTTGCTGCTGTAGACAAAGCCAACTCTATTCTAAGTACCTCAGAGATCACCAAGGAATGCGATTTGGGAGAGAGAGGACTTGGGGAGAGCATAATTCAGCAGAAAACTTCCAAGGATTTTGAAGGAAATAATTGATCAGCATTATCTGCTCCTGTGGAATCTTAATTTTGTTCCTATAATGTTGATAGCATTTTACATTTTTCAAGGGTAGGGGGTCTTCATAATCCAGATTTATCCCCACTAAAAAGAAGAAATGGAACTTAATGGTGATGAAATAATTGGCCTGGTATCACAAAATCTAAATAGAGTTAGAGGTGAACCAGAACTAGGTCCTTTACTTTTCCTTGGTAGAATCATAAATGTCTTACACCACATTCTAAACAGGTTTAATACCCTCTACCCAGTTAAGGATGGTGTAAAAGAAACTTTTCATCTCTATTCCTGAAAGGAAAAAAAATTAAGACTCCAAGTCAGCAGCTGAGCAACCACTTTCATCCATAACATTTTAGGGGATATGTCTTCTTCCAAGGCTATAAATTTTTATGGAAGAAGACTGCCTCATCTTTTCTCCCATGGAATGGCTGGTGGGTTTGAACCACCGACCTTGCGGTTAGCAGCCAGGCACTTTAACCACTGCACTACTACAGTGTCTTCTATGAGTGACGTATATACAAAATAATCCAAAATTTCTCCTATCCATTTCAATCACTTCAATCTCCCTACATAGCCTAAAATGTAATATAACCTCCTGAGTTGTCTGAAGAATAAAGAAAAGGCAATGTCATTCATTTTTAGCCCAACTGAGAATTAATCAGGTTTTAACAGATTACACTCAACCTCCATCAAGAGTAAAATAGTCAACAGTGCCATCTGTCCACCAAGTTAATCAAAAGACACAATTCCATTCTCACAGGAACATTCAGTCTCGTTAATACATAAAACAGAAAAGAGATAAGCAACAGCCATAAAGGCATGATGTTCATTTTTCAGAAGTGTAAAATACAGAGCTTTTCAGGAAGTATGAGGAGCGAAGGATTCTGCTTTGTATTTTTAAAATTTCATGTCTAGAATATTGAATGGAGAAAAAGGAAAGTAACAAGACATCTGTAACAGCAGAAAGACTGGGCAGAACAGCTAATGCAATGGAGGGAACGAACATCTGTGTGACTATTATGTGTAAGGAGCTGTGCTATATGCTCTAATATATCACATCATGTAATCTTCATAACAATCAGGCAGCTATTATTATTTTCATCTTAGAGGAAATGATGTTCAGAGGTAAATATTTAAAAAAAAAAAAAAAAAGATCAGAGTAATAAACATCCAAGTGTAAACAGAATTTAAATTAAAACAGCCAGAGATCCAAAGGGGAAAAATCCTATACTATCAAGGTCTTTTAGGAAGACAACATACCTGTAACCGCTGAAATACTCCTGATCGTAAGTTGCCAAATCCATAGTGGCACTGCAGATTCAAATCACTTTCTGATACCTCCTCATAGGGAGTCTGTTCAATTTCCCAATCAAATCCTTCATCATCATCTTCTACTGCTTCCTCAGAAACCTCAGAGGCACCTAAACATGTTAAATACTAATTTTTAAAAAAGTACTGCATTTCCTAGGTACTACTTGAGAAAGAAGTAATGTAGAAAAATATGCCTGCACATATGCACCCAAAGTCAGGAACAACAATAGCCATAGCACCACTATTAATAATAGCCAAAAAATAAAAAATAAAAACAATTCAAATGTCTACTAATGGTAGGTTAACAGAAATAAAGGTGGGGTGTGTGTGTGTGTGTATTCATATAATGGAATATTCTATAGCACTGAAGGCAAATGACCTCAGCTACAACATGAATAAATCCCACAGAAATAAGACAGAAAAGAACACACACTTTTTTATTATACATACAATCAAATTATACATACAATTCAGAAACAGGCAAAACTAGGGAAAGTGATGACCTTGGAGAGAAGGGAAGGAGAAGTAACTGAAAGGAGGCACAAAGCAGGGTTCCAGGATGTTGGGAATGTTGTATTTCTTCGTCTCGGTGGTAGTCACTTTATGTAACTCACTGAACTGTATACTTCTGATCTTAGCTTAAGAAGATAATATTTTGCAAAAGATAGTGATGCTCGTGCAGAGCAAAGAAGAATGAAGAAAACCAAAGATTCATGAAAACACTTAGTCCTCATGACTGGTACACCATGCAATCCTCACCCTATATGACTATGAGACCAGAAGAACTAGATGGTGCCTGGCTACCACTATCAACCACTTAGAGGGGGATCTGTGTAGGAGATCCTGGATAGAGAGGGAGAACAATGTGGAACAAAACTCAAAATCATTTGGAGAAAAAAAAAAAGGCCAGGTTTGCCGGTCTGACAGAGCCTAGTGGAACCACTGAGACTATGATCCCTAGCTGCCCTTCAGGTCTGGAATTGAACCCACACCTGTGGCTTCCAGCCAAATAAAAAATAGGCATAAGAGTTGAACATGTACCTGAGGTAGATACATTCCTTGGAGAGAACAATCATGGGAGAAAGAAGGGCTGTTTATGCAAAGGGAGACAGTTCAGGAGGCAGGAATGCATGGAGAGATAGACATAGGGAAGAAGTAACTATCAGGAAGAAGTGGGAGGAGAGATGTTGCATTGGGGTAAACAGTCAATGTCATGAGACAATGTGTGTGTGAACTGCTATATACAAAGTGAATTCGCTCTGTAAACTTTCATCCTAATCACAATTTAAAAAAAAAATGATAGTGATGCTGTTTCATTCAGTCAAAAAAGTGACTGACCTGCTGGTTCGATAGGATTCTATGTCTTCAAATTATTTATCACCAAATGAGATATTTTCACATGTGTCTACCACCTGATTTTGTCATCTTAATTTTCTCCAAATTCCAATTCACTATATTCTTTTTCCCTACAAACACACAGCTTTCCAGATGTTTCTTTTCATCTTTATTTCCTCCCAACTGCAAAGAACGTACCTATTTCTTCCACAAGTGGCTTCGCAGTCCTGGATTTTCTTGGTGCTAGGAGAGCTGTTAGCATGTTTAGCCCCTCAAATTGCTGACCAGGAGTTTCTTTGGGCAATCGGATGGTAAAAATTCCTTAAAGATAAATTTGTTTTGTGCTCAGATAGATTAAAATATTCAAAGCCTTAAAAAAATCTAAGAAATTGGTAAAATATAATTCTAATAAATAGAGCTAAAAAATTATGCCTTTATTATAGATTTAAAAAAAAAAAAAACTCACTGACGTCAAGTCAAATCCAACTCATAGACCCCCTCTTGGGTTTCTAAGGTGGTATCTCTAGGAAGTAGATTGCCTAGTCTTTCCTTCTGATAAGTAGCTGGTGGGTTTGAATCATCAGCCTTCTGGTTAGCAGTCAAATGCCTGAAGCACTACACCACCAGAGCTCCCACTGTAGATTTAGTAAATTAAAATTAAGATACAAAAGAACTCAGGGTTTTTCAGAGACACTGATCCAGCTATCCCCTCTATGAGAAATTAATCTGTTCAAGCTGCAGAATTAATCGGTAATATTGAAAGTACAAGTCAAAACTTTAAAAATCAATGGTTAAGAAGGTAATAGCTTAGAATTAACCAATAGCTACCAATAAAATATATGTCTGGACTCCAAAAAATAAAAAAGACAGTCAAGATACCTAACTCAATAGAGAGGAAGCTTGGTGGCACAATGGCTAAATGCTCAGCTACTGACCAAAAAGTGGATAGCTCAAGCTCACCAGACATTCCCATAAAGACTACGTCCTAGGAAACCCAATGGAGCAGTTCTACTCTTTCATACAGGATCACTAAGAGTCTGAATTAACTGGACAGCAGCGCACAGGAACAACACCAATAGAGAATAACAACAGTTTCAAAAATATATAAAATCTTAAGTAAAGCAATTATGGCTTAACACAATTTCTTTGGTAACTTACAGGATATTTTCCTCAAGTCTGTCTAAAGCAAATTCAAAGTCTTCCTATGCTGATCTTTTCTTTCCTTGACTCAGTTTATCAAACTCACCTAGTCTCCTCTATGAATTTATTACATTATTTATTACTCTTGCATTTGAAAATGTTTTCTCTCTCTCAGTGTACTGAATTACATTCTAATGTATTAAATAGAACTCAACCCACTTATTTCCACATATACAATCTCCTAATGCCTGTATACTTTTAATATTTAATAATTGTTTCAGTACACAACCTATCTGTAGTTAAAAAGCAGATTCATTAGCTAGGAAGGCAGTTTCATTATACTTCACCATCACATTATATTGCATTATGGGTTAGAACTTTGTCATCTACCTCTTCCAACCCTCCCTCCCTTACCCTAATTTACTGAGGTCAATAAATATTCACTGAATAAATTACACAAGAATACACAAGGTATTCTTATTCCAAGGTATTCTAATGGCAAAGGAAGGAGCTCTCATGGTGCAGTAGATGAAAGATTCAGCTACTAACCAAAAGGTTAGTGGTCGAAATCCACCAGACGCTTTGCAGGAGAAAGATGTGGCAATTTGCTCCCATAAGGATTACAGTCTTGGAAACTCCATAGGGCAGTTCTACTCTGCCCTATAGGGTCACTAAGAGTTGGAATCGACTCAATAGGCAGTGGGTTTTGGTTTAGTGGTAAAGGAAAATCCAAGGCTCCCATAAAGGCAAAATGACCTGTTTTGTGGCTACTCAAAATAAGGGGCTTATCAATCACAAGAAGAAAATTCAATCAACCTTGAAATGCCATCCATGGACAGTTTCCCTCTCACCTACATGTGATAAAAATTTAAATTTGAAATTATAGCTTTCAGTAGCCTACAAATCAACCACAAATTTCATAATCATTTGTCTTACACATTCCAACTTTTATTTTTAAGTATCTGCTAAATATAGGGGAACTAGGAAATACAACTTCTAGAAAAATAGAACCATAATATTTACCTAATTTAGAAGAATATTGTGAAATATTTTTAGAGCCCAAGAAAATAATAATTGTCAAGAAATCCACAAATAATAGACATTCAACATTAAGAAACAGAAAAAAATGACAGGGACAGATCATATTTGCCACACAGCTAAAGGTTTCCACTGTTTCTTGAAAAATTATTATATAGTTACTCTAACATGAAGAATACAAAGAAAAATTTTTTTTAATTCCGAACACAATACCTTTATCTGCATCATAGGAGCCTTGCTCACTTCCATTTTCTATAACTCTTCCAGGAAGGGTTAATCTGCAGATTTAAAGTAAGATTTTATGAAGTCCTTAAATGACAAAGCAGCATTTATCCATGGAAATCCATCAATCATTTAAGGAAAAATCCTCAGTGTTTCTTTCATATTTTATAAACTTAGTAACTTCAGTTCCTTCCATAGGGTTTTCTCGGCTATACTCTTAATGGAAGCACATTGTCAAGCCTTTCTTCTGCTGGTTTCTTCAAATCACCAACCCTTAGGGTACCAGCCAATCGCAAACAAACCATTTTCATCACCTTAGGACCTTGAATACTCCCTATTCACCAATAAAGAAGATAATTAAAAAGAAAAGGCACAATGAATATTAGTTATCACTATTGTTAGGGTACTTCTCCCCTTCATAATGAACAAGTGACTTAGTTTATATTTTTGGTGCCTGACACAGCAGATGCTCAAATAAAATGCCACTAATTGGCTTTAAAAATGAAAAGTAAAAAAATGGGAAACAAAGATACTACAATGCTTTGTAATGAACAAGCGACTTAGTTTATTTTCTTGGTGGCTGATACAGCAGATGCTCAAATAAAATGCTACTAATTGGCTTTAAAAAATTAAAATAAAGAAGTAGTTAAAAAAATGTGAAACAAAGATATTACAAAATCAATTGCCTACTCCTCGGAAGGAAGATGGGGCAATCTACTTCCGTAGTGATACTGTCTCGGAAACCCAAGGAGGGGTTGCTATGAGTCGGGTCTGACTCGACGGCACATAACAACAACAACATATCATGCAAGGGAGTTCTGGTGGTATAATGCCTAGGGCATTTGACTGCTAACCAGAAGGCTGGCTGTTCAAACCCACCAGCCACTCCTCAGAAGGAAGACTGGGCAATCTACTTCTGTAGAGATACAGCCTCAGAAACCCAAGGAAGGGTCACTATGAGTCAGAATCGACTAGACAGCAGTGAGTTTGGTTTTCTGTTTTATTTTGTTTTTTAGTATCAAGCAAAATACAAGTTTTAAAAAAAAACATGCTGGGCCTAGAGGCTCAGGACCATAGTCTTGGGGCACACCAAAGTCAAATGGTCCACAAAGACAATATTCTACATTCTACTTTGGAAAGTAGTGAGAGGGATCTTAAAAGCTTGTGAGTAGCCATCTAAGGTGCAACTACTGGTCTCTCTCCATCCAGAGCAAAGAAAAGAAGAGTGAACAAAATCAAAAAAACACAGAAATAATTGGTCCAAAGGACTAATGGACTATGTGAACCCCAGCCTCCACAACCCTGAGGCCAGAAGAACTAGACAGTACCCAGCTACTACCGCTGCCAACTCTGAAAGGGATCACAATAGGAGATTCTAGATAGAGTGAGAGAAAAATTTGGAAAAAAACTCAAAAAAAAAAAAAAAAAAACAGGCTTACTAGTCTGGCAGACTGGTGGAATCCCTGAGACTAGGGCCTTTAGACACATTTCAGGCCTGGAACTGAACTTACTCCCCTGGCTCAACTTTCCACCAAACAATAGACAGGCCTATGAGGTGCACAATACCACCAGGGAGGTAATGATTTCTTAGAACCACATAAGATCAAAATGGTAGCATTTACCCAGGGATTAGGTTCAGAAGGCAGAATGAACAGAAAAGATGGATGAATGAAAATGGTAAAGAGGGAGGAAGTAGGAAGAGTGCTGTTACACCGTGGGGATTGCAATCAATGTCAAAAAAGACAATGTGTTTGAATTGTTGAAGAAAAAACAATTTGCTCTATAAAGTTTCACTAAAATCAGAATTCGGAATAAAAAGTTTGAGAAAAAAAGATATCAAAATTTTTTTTCCTCAGTTCTCACTGTTACTAATACGAGATTTTTCTCTCATACTACATGAAATGAACTGATTTTCCTAGTTGTCTTCTACTGAGGCCTAAAAAAAATTGAGACAAAGTTTTACCATCCTTGCTAAGAAGCACTCTTACTGTACTTCTTCCAAATCAGATTTGTTTGTTCTTCTGGCACTCCATGATATATTCAATAATCTTTGCCAACACTGTAATTCAAATGCATCAATTCTTCTTCAGTCTTTCTTATTCATTGTGCAGCTTTCACATGAATATGAGGTAACTGAAAATACAAGGGGTTGGGCCCAGCTGAAGGTGACACCTTTGCTTTTTAATAGTTTAAAGAAGGCTTTCGTAGTAGATTTGCCCAATGTGATGCATCATTGGATTTTTTGACTGCTGTTTCCATGGGTATTGATTGTTGATCCAAGTAAATGAAATCCTTCACAACTTCCATATTTCTCTATCACAATACTGCTTACTGGTTCAATTGTGAGGATTTTTTTCTTTATGTTGAGGTATTATTCATAATGAAGGCTATAGGCTTTGACCTTCATCAGTAATGCTTCAAGTCATCTTCACTTTCAGCAAGGTTGTATCATGTACATATCACAGGCTGTTAAAGAGTTTTCCTTCAATCCTAATGCTGTGTTCTTCTTCATATAGTTCAGTTTCTCAGCTTATTCGCCCAACATACAGACTGGATAAGTATCATGAAAGGATACAAGCCTGATGGACACCTTTACTAATTTTAAACCGTGCTGTATCCTCTTGTTTTGTTTGAACAACTGCCTCTTGGTCTATGTACGGGTTCCTCATAAGCGCAATAAAGTGTTCTGGAATTCCCATTCCTTGCAACATTATCCATATTTTTATTTTTATTTTTTTTATAATCCACACAACTGAATGCTTTTGCATAGTCAATAAAACAAAGGTAAACATCTTTCTGGTATTCACTGCTTTCCCCCGAGATCCATCTGACACCAGCAATATACTCCTCATTCCATGTCCCCTTCTGAATCTAACTTGAATTTCTGGTAGTACCTTGTTTGAGTTATCCTCAGCAAAACTTTGCTTGCATGTGATTTTAATGATATTGTTTGATAATTTCTACATTAATTGTGGATCACCTTTCTTTGGAAGAGGCACTTATATGGATCTCTTCATTCGGTGGGTCAGATAATAGTCTTCCAAATTTCTTGGCATAGACAAGTAAGCTCTTCCAGTATTGCATCTGTTTGCTGAAACATTACTATTGGTATTCCATCAATTCCTGAAGCTTTATTTTTTGCCAATGCCTCCAGTATAGCTTGAACTTCTTTTTTAATAACATTGGCTCTTGATCATATGCAGCCTCCTAAAATGGCTCAATGTCAACCAATTATTTTGGTGAAGTGACTCTGTATATTTCTTCCATCCTTTTTGATGCTTTCTGCATTGTTCAATTTTCTGTCCATAGAATCCTTCAATATTGCAACTTGAATTTTTCTTCAGGTCTTTAGACATGAGAAGTACCCAGAATGTTCTTCTCTTTTGGTTTTCTAACTCCAGGTCTCTGCATATTTCATTTAATACTTTAGTCTTCTTGAGCCGCCCTTTGAAATCTTCTGTTCAGCTCTTTAACTTTATCAGGTCATCCTTTCGCTTTAGCTATTCTCCATTCAAGAGCAAATTTCAGTCTCTTCTGACATCTATTTTGGTCTTTTTTAACTTTTTTGTCTTTTAATGACCTTCTGCTTTTTTTCATGTATGATGCCCTCCTACAACTCATCTAATATTCAGTCATTGGTGTTTAATGCATCTATTCTTGAGATGGTGTCTACACTCAGGTAAGAGATACTAAGGTCGTTCTTTGGCTCTCAGGGACTTGTTTTAATTTTATTCAGCTTCAAGCTGAACTTGCATAGGAGCAATTGATGTCTTTTCCACAAGCAGCCCCTGGCCTTCTTCTGACTGATGATACTGAATTTCTCCATTGTCTTTCCACAGATATAGTCAATTTGATTCCTGTGTATTCCATCCAGCAAGGTCCGTGTAGTCACCATTCATATTGTTGAAAAAAGGTATTGCCAATGAATAAGTTATCAGTCTTTCAAAATTCTGCCACGCAATCTCCAGCATTTCTTTCACCAAAACCATATTTTCCAACTACTAATTGTTCTTCTTTGTTTCCAGCTTTGCATTCTAATTATCAGTAATTACCAATGCACCTTGATTACATGTTTGATCAATTTCAGATTGCACAAGTTGGTAAAAATCTTCAGTTTCTTCATCTTTGGTATTAGTGGTCAGTGCATAAATATGAATGCAAGTTGTATTAACTGGTCTTCCTTGTAGGTGTATGGATACTATCCTATAACTGACAGTGTTACACTTTAGGATAGATATTCAAATAATCTTTTGATGAACATGAAGCCATTCCTCTGCAATATTTCATTTCCAGCACAGCAGACCATATGACTGCCTAATTCCAAATGACCAATACCAGTCCATTTCAGCTCACTAACGCCTAAAATATTGATCATCAAGCATTCCATTATATTTTTCACAACTTCCAAGTTTCCTTGATTCATACTAGTACATTCCACATTCTGATTAATGGATGTTTGCAGCTATCTCCTCTTATTCTGAATGATGCCACATCAGTAAATGAAGCTCCCAAAAGCTTTATTCCGTCCGTATCATCAAGGCTGACTCTATTTTGAGGAGCCAACTCTTTCCCAGTCACAGTTTGAGTACCTTCAAAACAGAGAGGCTCAACTTCCAGTACTTTATCACACAATGTTTCACTGCTATCCATAAGGTTTTCACTGGCCAGTTTTTTCAGAATTAGATCACCAAGTCCTTCTTCCTGGTCTGTCTTAGTCTGGAAGTTCCACTAAAACCTATCCACCAAGGGTGATCCTGCTGGTATTTGAAACGCTGGTAGCAAAGGCTTCCAGCATTACAGCAACATGCAATCCACCACAGCACAACAGAATGACAGTGACACTATGTCATACATGAGGTTGAGTCATAAAAGGTAATACAGGTTCTGCCTTCATTGCTAGAATGCTTGCTCTTGAAATCTTCAGCAACCATGTTAGCAGTCAAACTCCCCTAAGTAAGCACAAACTAAACCATGCAAAGAGAACACAGAGGGAGGCCTTGAGAGTACACACACAGAGATGCTTCACCAGCCCCTAACTGCTTCTCCCTTTGCTGTTTGAGACCAGCCACCAGTTGACAATAACTACATTAAAGTCCCCAAACTAGAATAGCCCAGCCAAGCCTTTATCAAATTTCCAACTCAGACAACAGAACAGATAGTAAAATGATTGTTCTTTTATGCCATTAAGTTTGGTTGGTTATAAAGCACTGGATAACTAGAACAGCAGGTCCTCAATAAGTAACAAACCAAAAAAACCAAACCCACTGCCATCAAGTCAATTCCAACTCATAGCAACCACCATTGGGATTCCAAGGCTGTAAGTCTTCACAGAAGACTGCCTCATCTTCCTTCCATGGAGCAGCTGGTGGGTTTGAACTGACCTTCTGGTTAGCAGCCAAATGCCTTACTTGCTATGCCACCAGAGCTCCTTTCAACAAATAATACCTACGGTTTATTGAGGAGCTCTGGTAGCATAGTGCCTGAGGCACTTGACTGCTAACCAGAAGGCTGTTGGTTCAAACCCACCAGCCACTCCTTGGAAGAAAGGTTGGACAATCTACTTCCATAGTGATACCGCCTCAGAAACCCAAGGAGGGATTGCTAAGAGTCAGGTCTGACTCGATGGCACATAACAACAACAACAACTGTTTATTGAACAAATAGTTAATTGCTAGACATGGTAATAAGCACTTTGCATGCATTATCTCAATCTTCACATCAACTCCTTAAAATCATTATTAGTCCAGATTAAGAGACTGGGACTGAATAACTTGCTCAAAAGGAGCCATGGTGGTGTAACAAGTAAATACTCGGCTGCTAATCAAAAGGCTGGTGGTTCTAAGCCACCCAGCAGCTCCAAGGGAGAAAGATGAGGCAGTTTGTTTCCATAAAGATTTACAGCCCTAGAAATCATATGGGGCAGTTCTGCTCTGTCCTATAGGGTCACTGTTATTTGAAAATTGACTCATCAGCACCTAAAAACAACAACTAGCTCAAAGTCACAGAAGTTTGAGTATATGCACTCAGACCCAAATGTGTCCACCTCCTAAGCCTCTGCTACGGAAGAGATGAATGAATCTGTATACAGAATGTTCCTTCAATTATTTCACATATATCCTTATTTTGTCTTCATCAAAGCTCAGATTTAAGCAAGGTGGCTTTTATTTTTTAATTTTTATATAACTTTAAATTTTTATCTTATTTTACAATTCTAATTTAGGAAGAAGGAAACCAGTCTATATGATACCAAGGATTATGCTTAAGAATTTCTCTTTTACCCTCTGATCCCTCATCTATGTTGTTGTTAGGTGCTGTCTAGACAGCTCTGACTCCTACAACCCTATGTACACAAAACACTACCCTGTCCTGTGCCTGCCTCACAATCCTTGCTATACCTGAGCCCGTCGTTGCAGCAACTCTTGGTTAGCAGCCCAATGCTTTAACCACTGTGACACCAGAGTTCATTGGGGGAATAACAGGAAATTAAAAAAAAAAAAAGAGAGAGAGAGAGAGAATGAAGTCCAAGTGAAAGGGGCTATATAGGTGAAGAATAATGTTTAAGTGATGAGTGGGAGAGGAGCTGGAAGAACAAGGAGTATGAAGAGCACTGATAACAGGGAGAAAATACAGGCTGGCAAGAGAAGTAAGAAAAGAGGACTTTGGACAAGTGTAAGTGAGAAAAGGGGTGAAGTGTCTTCCCCTATTTTGCTGACCCCCACCATTTTACCAAGCATGATATCCTTCTCCAAGGAATGGTCCCTTCTGACAACATGACCAAAGTAGGTAAGAGAAGTCTGGCCATTCTCACTTCTAAGGAGCATTCTGGTTGTATTTCTTCCAGGACAGCTTTGTTAGTTCTTCTGGAAGTCCATGGTACTCAGTGTTCTTCGCCAGTATGACAGACAAAAGTATTTGAGGAGTAAAAGTAAGCTAGAGCTACACTTAAATGAAAAAGCTTAGGAGAATGGATTTTACCTAGTTGGAAACAGAAGAACAAGAAATTGACAAGTTTTAGAAAGAATAATCTGGCAATGTCCTGCGTAAAACGGGGCCAGGAATAGAACCTCTCTCTAAGGATCACCATCAAAATTAAGTGAGGTTACGACCACTACGCTAAAAGTAATCAGCGTTAGCTATCACTACTCTTGTTCAGCTCTGCAAGGATGAAAATGTAAACGGAATGTGGATTGATGAAAAGTCAAACTGACCGAGAAGCAATCGCGCGGTGCAGGGAACGAATGCGCAGAGAAAGGAAGACAACCGAACAAATCAGAAAGAGACAAGAACTAGGTAACAGGATCGAAGCTGAAAAGAGGCAAGGTCCCACATGCTACGTTTTAAATTGGCACTGAAATTTCTTTAATGTGAGGATTGAAAAAGAGAAAGTTTCTATGGGATCTAGAACAAGCACACCTTAAAGAAGTCACTTCCTAAGCACCAAAACTGAGGAAATCCTGGAATAAGTATTCGTTAAATCAAGAAGTTCGTCTCACCGCTCCCTCGCTCTTCCATCCTCCCTCAATAAGCAGTTCCCAATAAACGAATGAATTAATCCCCAAAATTCGCTCTTCCTGTGGACAGACACCAGGAACTCACCTAAGAAAGTACGGCTTGGCGTAAAACTTGAAGTCGACTCCCTCGAAGTAGACGTCAAATTCGGAGACTCGAGCATAGGGCACACGGATGGCGACGGTCAGAAAGTCAGGGTCCTGGGTGAGTTCGAATACGGGGGTCAGCATCACGCAGCCGGCTGCAGGTGCCTCTGTCCAGCACACTCACGCTGACGCCACTGGATACCACGTTCCCGCCACTCAAAATCTACGGGAACTACCGGGGTCTGTCCTGTTATCACGCCATTTCCGGCTCAAAGCGGAAGTACTCGGGCTAAGGCAGGAAGTCCCACCTCACGCCGATTTCCAAGGAGACGGGACGCTGCTAAGGAAGAGGTGGAGCTTTCAGCTCAGCGTGGGGAAAGAAGGGGCGGAGCGAGTGGTGCTTTGGCGCAGGAGTTGTTAAACTCCGGGGTATAAACTTTATGGAGGAACAGGAACAACAGCCCGGTTTAGAGATGAATTTTAACAGACCTGGCATTGCAGGTAGAGAGACCTGCGTTTCAAACCCTTCTTTGCCACTTCCCAGCTATAACACCTTTGGAACGTTACACAACTGCTCTATACTTCATCTGTCTCTTCTATAAAATGAGGGTGATACTAGAACCTAGCCAGATAGAGATGCTGTGAGGATAACGTAACATAATGCATTTAAAGCTTTGCCAAAGTACCTGGCAACCTGGCAACTTTCGTTGGGTTGGAGCAGGCACCGCAGAAACCACAGCAACACCGTTACTGTGGTTTTCCTTAATTCTTAGCTGCCTTGTCAACAGTTGTTCATTCTCTCTTCTCTCTCTCTCTCTCTCTGTGTCTCTGTCTCTGTCTCTGTATCTTAATTTTCACTCCTCTCTGGCACTTTATGGCCTTTTTCATCCCTTTTTTAAATTATTTTCTTATTTACAAGGCGTTCATCCCACTATTTTCATTTAAGCTGAACAAGAAACTGCAGAGAACATAAGATTCACAGAAGTTAAATAATTTATGTCATGCATTTTACAATGATCAGAACCTAGAACTTTTGACTCTAAAGCCAGTTAGTGCCTGCATTGCAGTCTCTCTGCACTCTTCACCCCTTTTCTCATTTCCTACCTTGTCCAAGGCCCTCTTTTCTGTCTCTTTTCCTTACTTTTCTTGCCTGCCTGTATTTTCTCCCTTTTATCTGTACTCCTCATACTCCATATTCTTCCAGCTCCTCTCCCACTCATCTCTTAAACATTATTCTTCACCAATACATTCCCTTTCACTTGGACTTCCTTCTCTCATTTTTTTTTTTTTTTTTTTAATTTCCTGTTACTCCCCCAATGAGAACAGTGGTTAAAGCATTGGGTTGCTAATCAAAAAGTCCATGGTTAGGACTCACCAGCCATTCCATCTGTCCTTCAGTAAAGATTTACACCCTTGGAAACCCTATGAGGCAGTTTTACTCTGTCCTGTAGGGTTGCTATGAGTAAACTTGATGGCAGGGGGTTTGGGGTTGGGTTTTTCCCCAGTGGAGCCCTGGTGGCCAGTGCTCTGACTGAAGGGTCTGTGGTTGTAACCCACCCAGGAGCTTGAGAAAAAAATCTGGCAATCTGCTCCTGTTAAGATTACAGGCTAGGAGCTGTATGGGGCAGTTCTACTCTGTCACATGGGTTCACAGTGAGTTGAAATTGAAACCATGATGCTAATAACAACAACACTGCCACAGCTGTTGTTAGGCGCTGTCAAGTCGCTTCCGGCTGATAACAACCCTATGCACAGCAGAACAAAACACCGCCCCATCCAGCACCAGCTCCATGATCCTTGCTATACTTGAGCCCATTGTGGCAGCCACCATGTTTGTTCATCCATCTCGTTGAAGGCCCTCCCCTCTTTCATGGACCCTCCACCTTACCAAGCATGACATCCTTCTCTGAAATTGATAAAAATCTTTGATTTCATCATTTTTGGCTTTGGTGGTTGGTGCATAAATTTGAATAATAGTCATATTAACTCGTCTTCCTTATAGGTGTATGGATATTATCCTATCACTGACAGCATTGGACTTCAGGACATATCTTGAAACATCTTTCATGATGATGAATGCAACACCATTCCTCTTCAAATTGTCATTCCCAGCATAGTAGATCATATGGTTGTTTGATTCAAAATGGCTCAAACCAGTCCATTTCAGGTCACTAATGCCTAGAATATCAGTCTTTATGCATTCCATTTCATTTTTGACAACTTCCAATTTTCCTAGATTCATACTTCATACATTCCATGTTCCAATTATTAATGGATGTTTGCAGCTGTTTCTCTTTGAGTTGTGCCACATCAGCAAATGGAGGTCCCAAAAGCTTTACTTTATCCATATCATTAAGGTTGGTTCTACTCTGATGATGCAGCTCTTTCTCACTCACATTTTGAGTGGCTTCTGACCTAAGGGGTTGGTCTTCCTGCACTGTATCAGATAATGTTTCAGGGTTATTCATAAAGTTGCCCAGCAATGTATCAGACAGTGTTTCTCTGCTATTCATAAGGTTTTTCCTGGCCAATTCTTTGAGAAGTGGATGACCTCTTCCTTCTTCCTAGTCTGTCTCAGTCTGCAAGCTGTGCTGAAACCTGTGCACCATGTGCACCTCACTGGGTTTGAAACACCAGTGGCACAGCCTCAAGACTCACAGCAACATGTCACCACATTAGGACAAACCAACAAACAAGTTTGTCTCCCTCAGCTGTTCGAAACCTCTCCAACCTCTCCTTACCTGGATCCCTGCCACTGCCTCCTCGCTCTGTCCCAGCCCCCCTGGCCTTCTCTCTCCTTTCCCCTGTTTTCCCACTTTGCCACTTACATGCATGGCCTGGGTTCCCTCCCCTCACCTGGATCCCTGCTTCTGACTCCTTGTTCTGTCCACTATCCCAGTAAGTAACTAGAATTGTCCAGTTGTGGTATTTATTTCCTAGTTGTAAATATTATTGAAAGGGAATGAAAGCCATCTCCCTATACAGTGAATCAGATAACCTTGAGAGGCTTTTAAACTTCCAATTTTTTATGAGTCTGAGGAAACAATCTTGAAATTTAATGGAGATGCAGGGAAAAAATATTAAGGGGAACAAACATTAATTGAATGCTTACAATGTGCCAGTACTATTTACCCCTCTTGACAGCTCTGAGGTACACATTATCATATACGCTTATGGTTTGCATATGATCATGCAGCTGATTAGTGCAATGGGAACTGAAACCCTGAGATAAGGTTCTAAACTACAACAGAGTAGACTCCCTTTAATATTACGCTATTTGTTTGACAAAATCAAGAGAGTCAAATATTCTAATGAAATGTGCAGAGACCTGGAATTAGAAAACCAAAAGGGAAGACGACACTCAGCATTTTTCAAGCTGAAAGAACTGAAGAAAAATTTCAAGCCTCGACTTGCAATATTGAAAGCTTCTATGGCAAAATAATGAATGATGTGGGAAGCTTCAAAAGAAAATGGAAGGCATATACAGAGTCACTGTACCAAAAAGGATTGCTTGATATTCATCTGTTTCAGGAGACAACATATGATCAAGAACCAATGGTATTAAAGGAAGAAATTGAAGCTGCACTGAAGGAATTGGTGAAAAACAAGGCTACAGAAATTGACTGAATACTCATTGAGATGTTTCAACAAATGTATGTCACAATGGAGGCACTTCTCGTCTATGCCAAGTAATTTAGAAGACAGCTATGTGGCCAGGTGACTGGAAGAGATCCATGTTTGTACCCATTCCAAACAAAGGTGATCCCAGAGAATGTGGAAATTATCAAATAATATCATTAATATCATACACAAGTAAAATTTTGCTGAAGATAATTAAAAAACGGTTGCAGCAGTGTATTGACAGGGAACTTCCAGAAATACAAGCTGGATTCAGAAGAGGATATGGAACAAGAGATATCATTGCTGATGTCAGCTGGACCTTGGCTGAAAGCAAAGAATATCAGAAAGATGTTTACTTGTGTTTTACTGACTATGCAACAGTACCCGACTGTGGGGATCATAATAAATTATGGATAATATTGAGAAGAATGGGAATTCCAGAACACTTAATTGTGCTCATGAGTAACCTGTATATGGACAGGAGGTTGTCATTCTAACAGAACAAGGGGATACTGGGTGGTCTAAAATCAATAAGGGTGTGTGTCAGGGCTGTATCCTTTCACCATACTTATTCAATCTGTATGCTGAGCAAAGAATCTGAGAAGCTGGACTAAATGAAGAATGTGGCATCAGGATTGGAAGAAGACTAATTAACAATCTGTGATATGCAGATGACAAAACATTGCTTGCTGAAAGTGAAGACATGAAGCACTTACTGATGAAGATTTAAGACTATAGTCTGCGCTATGGATTACACCTCAACATAAAGAAAACAAAAATCCTCACAACTGGACCAATAAGCAGCATCACAGTAAATGGAGAAAAGATTAAAGTTATCAAAGATTTTTTATTACTTGGATCCACAATCAACCCCAATGGAAGCAGCAGTCAAGAAATTAGACATTGTAGTGCACTGGGCAAATCTGCTGCGAAAGACCCTTTAAAGTGCTGAAAAGCAAAGATATTTCTTTGAAGACTATTAGTTAAGGCATTTGGCTGCAAAATGTCAGCGGTTCAAACCCACCAGCTGCTCTGAGGAAGTAGCTCACCCCTGTGGAAGGAAGATGGGATGATCTACTTCCATAAAGATTTACAGCCTACAGCCTGGGAGACTCAATGGGGGTCATGATGAGTTAGAATCGACTTGATGGCAGTGAGTTTGTTTTGTTTTGTTTTTAACCCAAACCATGGTATTTTCAATCACCTCATATGCATGTGAAAGCAGGACAATGCATACGGAAGACCAAAGAAGAGCTGATGCTTTTGAATTGGGGTGTTGAAGAAGAATACTGAAAGTACCATGGACTGCTAGAAGAATCAACAAATCTGTCCTGGAAGAAGTGCAGGTG